GGTTGGAGGCCATTGCTAGTAGGTTGGAGGCCATTGCTAGTAGGTTGAAGGCCATTGCTATTAGGTTGAAGGCCACGCTACTAGGGTGGAGGCCATTGCTATTGTTGGAGGCCATTGCTATCAGGTTGGAGGCCATTGCTACTATTTTTCTGCAGATCGCTGATTGAAACCAAAAAAATGTTCAAGCAAATGGCCCGTCCTGGAGAGGTCCGACCGAGACGCAGTGTGTCCGCCATTTGAAATTTCGTCAAAAATCACCTTGGCAAATAGAGATCTCACTGATTCCTTCAAGCACTTAAAATTACAAAAAAAGAGCCAGAAAACATGCAAAAACAATTGTAGTATAGCAACAACAAGCCTCCACTTTACAAAGGGCAACTACAAATAACACCAGGTGACAAAGAGAATTTCATGCGCCAAGCTGCTTCGATGCGAATGTCTCTTCTCTGGACTTCCTGTCTCAAGGCCAGCTGCACCCTTCTCTGGATGGCCTCGGCTACCTTCACGGCTGAGCTATTCACCGCCTGAAACATAGACGTCATCACCGACATCAACGCGTCCGATCGCTCCGTTCGTAGCGATGCCAGGAGCCCCTAGTAGCGTCCTTGCTCCTAGTAGCGATGCCATTGTATGAAAGCCATAGAATTGGGTTTTAGTGATTGTTCACTGGCAAGGTGAAGGAGTTTGATTGCGAAAGTGAGTGCACTATGTGCACTGCGGGTGTGGGTTGTCGGTGGAAACAGTTTTCTCGTTTTGTTTCAGACCAAGCATTGTAAGAGATGGAAGCAAGCCGGGTGGCTAAGATTTGAAGACTTCACATGGAATTCACGGAACTCACACAACTTGAAGACCTGTTTTAAGCAGGTGGCCTCCAACCTACTAGCAATGGCCTCCAACCTACTAGCGATTGCCTCCAACCTACTGGCAATGGCCTCCAACCTCTAGCAATGCCTCCAACCTACTAGTGATGGCCTCCATCCTACTCGCAATGGCCTCCAACCTAAGAGCGCTGGCTTCCAAGATAAAGGTGGGTGTGTCAGATGCGAGGGAGCTGTTTCAGGCAACCATTTCGTCACGGGGTGAGGCCAAAAGTATAAGCGGTGTAGATTTGGAGAGGTACCTTGGACTTGGAGGGTCTTGGTTTGCATGTTAGAACTGCCAATGCAAGTCAAAGCATGTGTTGGAGCCAATTTGAGCCGGCACTTGGTGTATTTGGAAATCTTTAGAGGCTTTCAAGCATGTTGTGGAGACAAGCGTCAACAAGTCGACGAGTCAGGGGCATACAATCACGCGATACACGGCGGGCGGCGCGATACACGGCGCGACACGCGGCGCGACACGTGACACGTGCCTTTACCAAAGCGTTCACCGTCTTGATCACGGTGTCCACCTCATCCGTCGACATGATCCAACGAGAAAATCCAACGACTCTACTTACTTAAGTAGACGCCTACTACCTACTACTACTACTACTACTACTACTACTACTACTACTACTGCTACTGCTACTGCTACTGCTACTGCTACTGCTACTGCTACT